TGGTCCGAAGTGGGCTGAATTAGTTCATAAAAGTTGGGATTCGAACCCATTATTTATAATTTCAAATTTATTTTAATATAAATTAAATATATTAAGTCAAGAATCAATTTTACCTCCTAAAAAATGTTTCTTGTAAAGTTGCAAGACAAATCTATAGACGACACACAAAAGGTGGAAAAGAAAGAAATCTATCAAATAATATTAAGCATAATGTCCTGCTTTCAAAAATAAGCTTATCCCAAATAACATGAGATTCAATTCTAACTTTTATCAAATTGATAAGTAGTAAAATTAAATTAGAAAACTTAAAACTAGAAAAACATGTAAAAATGAGGATAATTTCATAGAATTGCTATTATAGCATAATATTCATCTATAGCAATAATATTTTCTTTTCAAACATAGCAATATTAGGAGACACTACAACAAAAATATTTTGTACCCGTAGAATATAATATTAAATGTTAAACCTTTTATTGATATTAGTTAATTGTCATGAGATCTAATGTAGTTATACGTTTTAGCTAAATTAGTGCTAAACTGTAACTGTCACTAGAAATTACTTCTAAAAAAAATGTATTTAGCGACAATTAAGGTAGTATATTGTCATTAATTAATTACTGCTAAAAAATATTTTTAATTTGGTGAGAAACTCACTTCCCTACTCTCTCTCTATTAGACTATGAGAAATTTATAAGAAGTGCAATGCAATAAGTATTTGTAGGGTTCATGAACTTTGCCTCCTCTGTATTATATATGTTCATATTTATGTTAATGTACTTTCCAATGATAAAAAAATCAAAATATATTCTAAATATTTGTAATTAATCCAAACACACAAGAATGAACTATATAATACTCCTTTTCATTCATACAAGTATGAATTAGTGAAAATAATAAGACAGAGATTTGAATCTTTTCTTTGACCATGCCAATCCAAACACACTAAAAATGTGTCCATTCTTTTGAAGTGTCACTACTTGTAGTCACACCAATCATTTCATTCTAATATCACTCTAAATTTCGATCTATATGATCTTCGAACAGTACAATGTAAACGTCTTCCTTAGAAGCAGGTAGTATTCTATTATTCTCTCTTGCTAACGATCAATAGTGCCTTTTTCCCCATAGGTAACATGGATTATAGAGAGATTTTAAATACGTTATAATCAGGTTCCATATTTATAATGATACTTCATTGGTATATGATTAGGGACATAACTAGTATTTTGATTATATATAGATTTGGCAAAATTAGTAGCTAATTTGATGTAAAATCTATATTTACGTTAAAAAAAATTGTTTATGTAAATGTCTGACTAGAAAATAAAAACTAAAATTTTTTTTCTTAAAAAAATAAATAAATTGAAAATAACAAATTTAATATTTTAGCTCCGCCCCTAGATTTAATAGAAGGTTGATATGTGGTATACTTCTGATATTTTGCAAATGTTAAAGGTAGAGAGTGATAGGTCATGGAGGAATCCAAAATTGAGTCACGGGCATCTTTAAGTCATATCAATGTTTATAAGTTAGTTTTTTTATTTTAAAGAAAATTATCTTATTAGATATATATCCATATCACATATATTAATTTTATCTATATTTCAAAATAATTATATATTTTATCATTATTCAAAAGTTTCCAATCATATATTAAGGTAGATACACTTAGATACATGTATTTTTGTTATCTGATACACTAAAATAGAGAGAGACGAGCGAGATGGGGAGGAAAGCGAACGACATAGTCATGTCTTTCAGATACATGTGAATCACACTAGATACTTCCTCCGTCCCTATTTACTAGTCAAATATATCCTAATTTGATTTTTCTTCTTACTTGTCATTTTTGACAAATCAAGGAAAGACAATTATTTTCTTCCTATTATTATATCCTCAATTTATTAACATTGAGTTAATGTCTTTGAAAAATATAGTGAGTAAATATGTTTAAGACTCTATCAATTATTACGGGTAAAATGGTAGACTCACTATACCAATCATTGTTTTCTTAATAGGTATGTCAAGTCAAAATTTGACAAGTAAAAAGGGAAGGAGGGAGTACATGTATATGCTAGTGTGATTAGAATGTATGTGGAATACCAGATACATAGGAGAGTGGAGAGTGATATGGGAGGGAAGCGAGGGAGGAGAGCGAGATTTGTTATGTATGTATCCCAAATACATGCAAATTTTGGATATAGTGTATCTAGAACAAATTATACCTTAATTTTGACCTCATGTATCCCAAGATAAATGTATCTGGACGCACCAAAAATCTGGTAAGATTCATATATAATATTACAAACTAGCGTGTATCTAAGTAATTAACTCTTAAACTAATGAGATTTATGTAAGTTTCTCCTTTTTTTTTCCAATCAAATATGTTTGGAGCTGGTATTGAAGTCCCGATTAAATTTGAATCATGCATTGCTCTGAAGGTGACACTCCCAATAAGATTATCTCCAAACTCAAAACTAGCTAGAATCCCAGACCTCTATTAAGGGCGGAGAAATCCAATTACCACTGCATCACAATCATGCTAGTTATATGTTAAAACCAATCATTGCCAATGTGATATTATATTCTGATCAATATGTTGTTTGATTAACATGGTATATTTCTTACAGGAAATAGATATGAAATAAAATTCTCCTCATTTCTTTTGTGGTGTTAGTGTTTTGCTTAAAGAAAAACAACTACTCCCCTTCGTTTCATTTATATGTTTTGTAAGTTGATAGGACTCAAATTTTAAAAATATAGGAGATTTCTTTTAAATTTTATGGTTTTCCTTTAATTAGAATATTAAAAGTGAATCAAGTGATATGTATCTAAAAATATGACTAAGTAAAAGACATCAATTACAGTAGAGTGAACATAGGTGATAAAATCAGTCCATAAAATTATAATCCGTTTAGATTTTGACAAGTTGATACAATATCAAAATGAAAAAAATATCCAAATTTCAACTCTAAGAACAGTAAAATAAAGGATAGAAAACCAAACACAAAACAAAGCTTAATTGAAAACTATAGTTATATGAAGCTTAAAAACTCAATTAAATGGAATCCAAAAGGCATGTGCACTATATGATAAACCCTAGGAGGAATTCTTCTTTTCGCAAGCAATCTATTCCGTCCACTTTAATTGTCATAGTTTTATTTTTAGAGTCAAATGATAATAACTTTGACTAACCTTTTACAATGTATTTTTCATCATATTGATATGCAAAAAATTGAAATTTATAGTAATTTTCGTATAATTTTTGAATATCTAAATTTTTTGTTTAAAATATCAAATTAATAATCTAATTTAATTTTGAAAATTAGTCAAATTGACTTTCGAAAAACGTAACATGACAATTAAAAATGGACCGAGGGAGTATATATCAACTATAAAACGCTTATAATGATTGTTACAAAAATACTTTTAATGTAAAAAAATCTTCTTATTCTTCTTAATTAGTTATAACTACTTATGAGGGCTTATGTTTTAAGAATTATAACATCTTTATATACATAATTTTTTTCTCCCTTCTTCAGTAGTCTTTAAAGTGGAGCCTTGTGTTTTTATTTTAGCATTTGTGAGATTAAACTCTTCATTTCAAGTACCTTCCAAGCCTCCAAAATAGTATTTCAACTCACTTTAAATCAGCACATTTGAAAGCTAGATTGATATATATGCAGTTCAAATATTGCCACATGAGATTTTTTGTCTAAACATTTTTTAAAAAGATATTGTTTTATTCGATATGTTTTACCGTCATAAAATAAGGATGAATTAAGTTATAATTTAATTTTAAACCGATTTCAACTCAAATAATTGTTGAGCAAGTTAATTAATGGCCTGCTTATTTAATAGACCAATCTATTTTATCAGGTCTTATTTCAATTCAACCCACCATTTGACACCGCGAAAGGTTGGCACGCAGTAGGCATTATTATTGTCACATCTGATTATGTTGTATTGGTGTTAGGTGTCCCTAGTGACAAACGATAATACAGAAATATAGAAAAAGTCATTTTAGAAAAAAGAAAGTTGGTTCTATAGTTTCTGCTTTAATTTACTACATTATTACATTTTCCAAGAATGATATTGACATTGATTGGACGCAATTAAATACTTAAAAAAACTCGATGGTGAAAATCACTTAAAACATACTAAAATGTCGTAATCCCAAAAATATTTTTTCAATAAGAAATATTACTAGAAGCTAGCTAGTTGTTAATAGAGATTCAATGAGTGGACAAAAAATAATGACAAGCCAATTGAAACTACATAAAGCTGGTCACGTAGACTATACATTGTTTAGTAAATTAAAATGGGTATAACTTTATCATTAGATCGGCATATGTCCCTTGATCGATGGATTTGTCAAGGCCAAAAAACTAGACACGGAGAGACATTTCGATCTAATGAATTTATATTAGCATCATATAATGAAATTAATATCCTTTATGTAGCTCATTACCTTAATAAATTAAAATGAGTCATGATAACTTCCTCAAGCAAAAAAAAATAAATAGAAAAAAGATATTTCCGGCTCATGTTTGACTTAACAGTTTTTAAGTATAGTAGTAAAAAAAACAAAATGATAATTTACTAAAAGACTCTTTAATATGATGATTTTTTGGAAAAAAAAAAGAAGAGACTAATACCTTCTTGGCTTCTTAAAATAATAAAATTCACTTGTTTTGAAACAAATTAAAAAGGCTAGAAAATCACTTAAGAGGGAATGAGAGTAAACTCAAAAATGCAATATCTACAAATTAAAAAATAATTATTTTTAGTGTGAAGCAATTCAGTAAAACAAAATTTATTGTTCCGATTAATTTAAGTACATATCGTGCAGAACATACCAAGTTGAAATAGCCCTTGCCATGAACTTTTTTCGAGATTTGAACTCAAATTCTCTTATTAATTTAATGATTGAAAAAAAAAACTCATTCTCACACTCTTGATGGAAATTAAATTTTCAACTCAAAGTACACTGTATAATAAGTAACAATAAGAATCATACAACATAAACTTGAACATGCCACATATCAACACATATTTATAATTAAGGAACTTCAAATACTTAGATATTACAATAATCTTCAAATGAAACCAACCAATTACCATCTCAAAGTAAATTAATATAATGTCTTCACACCCCTCAACCTCAAAGGACAAACTTGATTAAATCTTGACAAATCAATTAATTAAGAGCATTGGAAGCCAGCAGGAGCTTCTTTAGAGCAAACATTAAGAAGCAAACTAAGTGAAATAGGGAGATTAAGGTTAATCCCCAAAATATTAGCCTTAAGAGCAGTACAAAGACAAATAGCAGCTTCAGCATTAGCAAGTCCAGAAAGAAGACTACAACATGGAGTTACTGGTGGTGAGCCAACAATAACATTTACTAATCCAAGAACATCAGCACAAACACCTAACTTAAGTGTATCAATTGGACAAGTATCTTTAGGATAATAAGGTGGTGGTGGGCATGATGGCTTTGGTTTTGGTTTAGGTTTAGGACAAGTGCCACAACTAGAAACTAAGGCAAAGAAAAGGTTAAAGCAAAGGAAAATAGCAAGACTAGGGAAAATGTGTTTGGAAGCCATTGTGGTTTTTTTTTGTTTTGGTTTTTGGTTAAGCGATGAGTGCATAGTTGTGTTAGAAGTAGAGGGTATTTATAGATTGGAAAATGTGAAGGGATAACCTATTTGTTGAATGAGTGGTTCTTTTCTTTTAGTTTTTATTCTTATGTCTTGGGCTTATTATAATTAAGGGTAAGTCATGAAATGGATCTTAGGTCTGACTCAACTTCAAAATAAGTTCAAAAGGTTATGAAAATATATTAATCAAGACAAATAAAAAGATTATTACTCATCTCATTATTGATCGATGTGAGACTACTTCAGCACCTTCCTCACGTTTAAGGCTGGACATCTCTAGTGTGAATAATTATATATGAGGTCCAACATTGTGATCGAGAATTGAGATATGAGTCCTGTTCTAATATGTACCATGCAAAGAAATATGGGTTTTTAAACGTAACTCAATTTCAAAAGCTAACTCAAGAGAAGAAGATTTTTCAAGTCATATAAATAGACCACATATCCCATAATTGACCGATGTGAGATTTCTTCATCAATTACGCTATAAACGTAAAATTAATTTGTAAACAACTAAAATTCTTCACTATGCCAATATACAATCAAACTTTGTTAATAATCATTCTCTATAATAATATTTAACTAATATCGGTTATGTGAGTTGTAGTTATGCTTAGACGAATTTTGTCTCTCTCAATTCCCTTTTTTTGAGTTCTGTTTCTCATCCTTCTTCTATGATTCTATAATTTCCCTTAATCGGGGAATCTTAGCTTAGTTGATTGGCTACCTAAACTATGAATTCGATTTTTCATCTTATAATTCTCTTTTTCATTTCCCTTTCTCTTACCCCATTTTTTAAATAAAAAAAATTAAAAAATTCCCCTTAATATTTTAGTTATTGATTCAACAATTAGCCTTCTTCTGTCATTGTGAGTGTTGGTATTTGGAGGTTGTTACAAGGTGTTGGTAACCCAAACTAAATAAAGTTTGCAACCTTACTAATTTCCACTAATTACCCACCATTCTTTAAGCACCACATATCATTATTGGGTAATTTGTTAGCTCATCTGAAAGTGAGTTTAGGAAGGTATTAAATTTTGTATAAGTAATACGTATTATGTTTAATAGCTTAGGAGGTAAGTCATTAATGTATAAAATTAACATGGTATTAATTTGGAATTTAGAAATTCGCATGACTAATGCTTGTTTAAGTAATAATGAAATTTTTTATGTTTTATTCTATACAAGACAGAAGGTAGAATAACCAAATCTTGTGTAACTAATATATACATAAAACAATACATGAACTCCCTTATAACTACTTCATTCATAACTTATACATACATAACTCCAATCAATTGAACAACCCTAAGGACAATGGCATAGCCAGTTTTGGGTTAACGTAAGTTCATCCGAACTTCCTGAATTAAACAGAAAATTACAATATTTATACATGATTAAATTATTTTTTTATATAAATACATAGTAATGATGATTGATGAACTCCTTTAGGCTAGTTGTGTGTTTACTCTTTACATTTTTTATTCCCCTTAGAATATCTTTTTTTTAGAGTAGTTTTTAGCTTTGTCACTATTTAAAAGTATGTATGGTATAGAAGAAAATATTTTGTAACAAAATAAGTGAGTTTCTTATTTTTATTCGTATCGAAAATTCTAAATTATAAAGAAAACGTGTAGGGCTTAAGGACGCGGTTTAAAACAAGAGAAGAGACATTCGAAGACATTTCTTGAACACTAGTAGTGTCGTTGTCTAAAATCCACTATTATAATTAGTAGAGTTGTCACTTATCATCGCCGAGGATTGGATCGGGATAAATAGAATTTTTTCATTCTTAATAAAAAAGAAATTGATTCGAGTTTTGAGAATAAAAGAAAAAAAATTGTGATTGGAGGGTTTTCTTTTAATGAGCTCTTATGAGGCACAAATCTAAATTAGTCGAGATAAATATGTATGTACTATACACAAAATGTTGAGTTGCCGATTGATTAAGCAATTTTGATTTATATCCAGATAGTGTATCTTATTGTCTCAGAGTATTTGTCACGATTTGCTTTTAGAGAGAAATTATATGAACTAATAATTAGTTCAGAATTATGATCAATATTTTAAGATGTATTTTCTTTTGGATAAGAAGATCTAAAACACCAGTCAAGGGAAGAAGGTCGGTAACAAAATGAAATCTTTCTTTTTCAGCTAAGTTTGCACATAAATTATTCACTTCCCGCCGATGATGTGATCATCTCTAAAAATATGCCTCAATTTGTGGCATATCAACTATAGGGGGAATGCTATGTCTGATGTATATTAAAAAAGATGGACAATCAAACCTATTTATCGATTCACTCAAAGAGGTGAATAGGGTCCCAAGTGTTGGGAGACGACCTTCCGCCGCGGTAATATGAGCTTTCCCTTTCCTTAATATTACACAGGATGCGCAATGGGGGTAGTACAAGAATATGCAAAAAATTGACAACTTATAAATTTTTCGTATAATTTTTAAATATCTAAATCTTAACTAAATATAAAATTAATCTAATCTAATTTAGCTCAAAAAATTAATCTAGATTGACTCTCGAAAAATAAAACTTACCTAACAACTATTTTGGGAGAGTAAGAATATTAAGGAAGGCATTATGGTAAAGCACTCAAAGTAGGATTAAATTAACTCCTTTAATAAAGATGTACTTCATTTATTGGCTTGATCTACCTAGGCAACATTGATTTGGAAACTAAAATGAGAATTATGGTTAAACCTTTCACTATCTCTAATTAAATTGATGTTAACCATCATATAAGTATTATTATTATATTATTATAAAGAAGATGGAAAAAGAATGTAACAGCCATGTGCTATAATTGCAATATTTTTGGCTCTATGCAGAAACACAGCCAATATTTTGGAGGTTAGCTAAGAACACAAGGCCAACTTGGGATCTGATTTTTTCTCTTGGTTTGCTAATTATCAGATACAAAAGAAATCATCTGGTTCTTCTTTTCCAGCTATTTTTTCTTTCTTTTTGGTACAAAAAATATTACGTGTTTTAGTTTATGTGGCACAATTCAAATTTCATTTAGTTAAAATTTTAAAGTCTAACCATGAATTCAGACATTTAGTTAGAATTTACAAAATAATATTTATATATATGTGTATAAACTACATAAAAAGTATTACAAATCACAATAATTAATAATTTAAAAGACATATCAAGAAAATAATGGTTAAAAAACAAAAGCTCGTACTCTTGAAATATAAGAGATATGGGGCGGACCCTTCTTTATCCCGGGGTGTCAAGCGACGCTCCTTTGTCGGAAAATTACATTGAATATAGAGGTCAAATTTTGGTTCAATAATTGTGTATACAAGTATTGACACTTTTTGACATATGTTAAAGGCTTATAGTCTAGTGGTTAAGGTGTTGTGAAAATTTCTTGAGGTCGTGTGTTAGGTCCTACTAGCCTCATAATTATATTTTTTACTACAACCATTGACACCTCTTAATGAAAATTTTAGGTCCACTACGTAAGAGATGCCACATAAATTGGGAGAGAGTTAAACATGCATCGTAATGGATTTGGAAGAAGAAACAAGATTTCAACTTTATGAGTTCGGAATTTTAGGATAACAACTTCAAATAATAATAACTAAGTTTTAAATCTAATATTAGTAAATATTTTATGAAAATTTCAATACAAATAAACAGTTGAATTAAGTAGGTGTTTGGTCATGTGCATATCGTGTTATGAAATCATAAGATGTTTGGAAATTTCACGTTGATTTCATCTCGTGAGATGAAATCTCAAATTCTTCAAAAATCATGATTTGGGATTTGTTAAATATAAAACTTGACCCACAAATTTATATTTTGTAAAAGAACCTTCTCATTTATATCTACTGATCATTTATTTTGATATATAAATAAAGTTATAAAATTCATACCATTACTTTTTAAATCATTTATATCCCATATACCAATTATTCTCTCCAGTTTGATATTACTTCAAATCAATTCCTACTTTACTATTTATATTCACCAAATTCAGAGTTAATATCTTAAAAGGTCATTGAACTATAGAAAATTATCTAGTAAAGTCAAAATCACTCAACTTAAAGTTTTTATCTTAAAAAATCACTCAGCTTCATTTATCATTAAAACAAATTTGACATGATAAAATATAAAGATTATTTTTATGTCATGTAATTATAAACCCCAAAAATAAATAACCTTATATAATCTATTTATTATTATACCAGATCCACCCATAAATTGGCTTCAATTTTTTTTCCTTATCTGTTTGATCTTATCAGTGACATTTTTGAATTCTTGGATGTTGAGGTCTTTCAGTGGTTTAGTCCATCAGATTTCAAGGTCCTCGACACAAATTTATTTTACGAATTATGTATGGAAATTTTAATTTGACAACTAATAACTTATGTAATTATTTAATGATAATGCACGTAGTATTTTAAAAAATATATATTTTTGATTTGCTGAAATGGAGGGAGTATTAGTTAATTTTACATTTTTATTTTCTACTATATAATTACTTGTTTCAAGTCTCATGACATTACACAGATAAGGATCTTCAATTGTACTAATATTAATTTTTCATATTATTGATATGTAAAAGATTGGACATGAATTTAATGAAGTTAGAGAATATTTTTTAAGAAGTTAATTTGTACAATGAAGGGAATAATTTGACCATAAAAAGATAAAGAAGTTGATTTCTCGTTTTTTTTTATGTGATGATTTAATTTCTCTAATCAGAACTAACAATTGTAACTTGCCAAGAACTTCAATTTTTCAGCTATACAATTTGCTAGAGGAAATAATGAAAATAAGAGCATGAATCGGATATATGGGTTTCAGGGTGGGTTGGTATAATAATAAATAAATTGTATAAATTTTATTTATTTGTGGGATTTATGATTACATGGCATGAAAAGTATTTTATTTTGTTGTGTTTAATTTATTTTAATAATAAATATAGTTGAGTGATTTTTGAAGATAAAAGCTTTAAGTTGAGTGATTTTATTGATACAAAACAAAGTTTAATGACTTTGTTAGATAATTTCTCATACTTCAGTGACCTTTTAAGATATTAACTCCCAAATTCATTATGTTAGATCAAATTTATTTACCAATCAATGTTCAATTTTGATTTTTTTATTAAATTAAGTTTGATCAATTTATGTTGTATTTTTTAGAATAGTTTTGTGATAGTGTATTATGAGATTTTGTAAGCTTTTACTTATTTGGTAATATAGTATAAAAATTTGAGACAATTTGAATAGTTTTACAACTTATGAGAGTTTTATGTATGAGAAACATACAACATAAAAAATTCGCATATCCAAATAAAACTTTAACTTCATCTCATAATTTCATATCACAAAGCCAAATTAAACGATCACTTCTAGATTAAAAAAGGAAAAGAAAAGAAGATATTACTAAGAATTTTTTCGTTTGCTAGTAAGTTGGCCACTTCTTTTTCCTTTTTTGGTTTCTCATTTAGTATTCGGAGCCCACATGGGAGTCCCTACTAAATTCGGATCACGCACTGCATGCATCGCATGACCCGTTTGAAATAGCGCATTCAACAAAATTTTCTTCATATACAAAACTCGAATCTTGAAACCTCTGGTTAAGAATGAAGTGCTCTTGCCACAACCCATGTTAGTTCAGACACATGTTCTTTTCATCTAACTATGAACACAGAATTCTAAGTACTAGTGGGCTATATCTGTATGGGGTACAAAATGTTAGTTGTCCTTGTCAAATGATCGAGTGGCTTAGGATTCACCAAGAAAATATCTTTTTGTTTATTGAGAATTAATTGGAGGGTAGCCCTACAAAAGATTCTACATGTTCAAAAAAAAATTAGTGAAAAAAATGTGTGCTATTTTCTTCAACTAGACAAAAAAATGAAGAATATTAAGGCTAAATAGTTGCATATTTTTTTTAATCAAAGGTTTTGGGTGTTGATTTTTGCTAGCCAAAAAGAAATATATGTATTGTGATGATAGAGGATAATAATCACTTTTTGTTGATTAATAATTAAAATGAAGAAGAAGATGTTTTTTGCATTTTTATTACCAAAACATGTTATTTGAACTTTCTTGGGTTGGTAAGAAATGTGTAAGTGAGATGATGTACAAGAAGTGTGAAATCAAATTATTTTACTAATAAAGGCAGTGATAAATTTGGAAAACGATAGATACTTAAAAATCAAGGCATAAAACACAAATATATTCTTTAATTTTGAATTCAAATAACATCTACGTTTTTCAATTTGGCCTATATATATAAACATACGCATTATTAAGCAAATCTCTTCTTTTTTCTTTTCAAGTATCTATTATTTTCCAAATCGCTATATCATTGTCTTTATTAGTATGATGATTTGATTTTACATATAGAATATATGTGTTTATTTGTTCAATCCTATGATATTTAAATTGTTTTAGTTTTGATTATCTTCTTGAACTTGATAGTGTGATTATCATGTTCCTGACCTTCGTAAATGTTGACGTATGATAAGTAAATACTTCAATTTTGAGTATGAACATCTAGACACCTCATCTTGTTTTTATTGTGTCAGTTGAATACTTCAACTTACAAAATCATTATTTAAACAAATTCAAAAAAATTATGAATCATTTCAACATCAGCTATTTACGAAACTCAGTAAAAACAAATTGGAGTGTTTCGTCTAAATTACAAGCATACATTGTTATAAATTTTACTGCTATGTACTCTGTCTAATGGAATATTTGTATTTTAAAAAATAAAAATTAAAAAGAGGTCCACTACTTAGGGATCATTTGGTCGGGAACAAGTTATACCAAGACTAGTTATCCCGGGATAACTTATCCCACCATGTATATGAGATAACTTGTCTCATCACTATGGTATAAATTGTGAGATAAGTTATCCCAAACACGGCAACCAAACAAGACACCAAAATTTTATTCTTGGACTATTTTTTTTTAATCTCAAGACTATTTATATTTATCCATCACACCAAACGAACAAATGATTAAAGGCTACTCAAAATTTATCCCGAAAGTAACTCCCCTTATCCATCACACCAAAGTCCAAACGACCCCTTATAGTTAAGTTAGCAATGGTTTAGTATATTTGGGCTTTCTATACTCGTTGGTCTCACCTAAGATGAGTTTGGGCTCTTTGAAGCCCAAAAAGAGAGAACCCATAAAAAAGTGGACTCTAAAGTCGGCCCATTTTTAATAAACCTATTAGTGTCCAGGCTAATTTAGGTGAACTATTCTATTTTAAGAAAGGTAAAATTGTATAAAATAGCAAATTATTAATTCAAATTAAATGCTATAATCACAATTTGATTTAATAGTAACCTGTAGCAAACAGTTGTCATTCGCCTCTCTCCCTAGGCTTCTCGCTCGCCAGTCTCTCCCTCGCCTCTCTCGCTTTTATACCAACACAAATGTATAAAATGCGTTTGTGTTTGTATAAAGCGAGAGAAAACTGTATATACAAATACGAATATATATATTTTCGTCCTATACACTTATAACTATACAAATACAAATCTTTCCCGGCCCAGTTCTCTTTTGCCTTTCTCTCTTTCTTGCTTAATACAAACATAGATTATACAAATTATAATGTATAATTTGTGTTGTATAAAGCGAGAGAGAGAGATTTGATATACAAATGTTTTATTTCGATTCAATTGTATAAAAATTCAAATTTTATGCAGATATATACAAACACATAAAATTGAATTGAGAGGCTGCCAACGATTTATACAAATAGCCTGTCAGCGAAATTATACAAATCTGAAGCTCCTGTCAGCGAGTTATACAATCTGATGCTCCATAGCAAACATAAAGTTTACTGTGAAACGCAATTATACAAACTATAACTATAACACACATACATGATTTTTATGTTTGCTATATGTGAAAGTTGTTATATGCAATAACCTTAAAAATGGATCGTTTTCAAATTTTTGAGCCCCCCCCCCCCCCCCAGCTAACCCCATAGACAACTTTTAAGATCAGAAATCAAAATATTTGTCCATAGGTCGAAATTTGTTAAACTTGATGTTTTACCCATGAAGCAAGCACAGTTTAATGATTTTTTTCCTATTTTAAAAAATAATGAAACTTGCTTTAGCTTAGTTTGCCTTTTGAATGGGGGTTTGATTTCCCTCGAGCACATTTAAATTTTTTATATTTATTTTTTAATTTAAGATAAATTGGAAATTCAAATCCGCTTATTTCATAGGCAACAATTTTCAAAATCAAAAGTCAAAACTTGTTGGACTCGAATTGGATTTCAGTTTCTTTTGTCTCTTGTTTAATGAAAACAAATGGTAATTCAAAATGAAAATCTATGTCTATCTGCCCAAGCCTACGTGGACAGAGTTATACAGTATACTACTGCGAGGTATCAGGCATTACCGTGTAAGTAATATTAGTTGAGGTCCATACAAGCTGTCCTGGACATCACGGTTATCAAAACACAAATGATTATGTAACTTGAAGTTTGCCTTGATGATGTTAAGCAAGTTAGTAGACCAAACTGTAACAATGTTCAATTAGTACACTTCAATGGAGTACAAAACAACCTCAGTGCTAAATGATCTTGGCTAGTAACTTCCTTTAATACACAAAAATCTCCTTTACAATGTATACAATCACACTCTTTACAGTAAGCTTTCTCACTCTACAAGTATGACTCTGCGATTTTTCCTGTTAGCTATTTCCGTTCTGTACATGTATCTATCTACTCAAAGAATGCACAAACAGTTTACTAGGTGGACAAGACGATGCGCAACATGTTTTGATGTGGTAAAGGTAATGTTTCAAATATTTTGGACAACACAAGAGGCTCCAGTTCTCTTTGGAACTTCTTCAATAGATTGATAATTCGCGTCCTAGTTTCTTCTGAGGCCAAATTGTTCCCAGCCCATAAAACCTAGAGGATAAAGACAAACTTATGAAATGGAGGAAATCTTAGTGCATATAAGATGAAGGGTACTACTGTAAAGGAAAACTACCTCAGCAAAAATTGCTATTATAATCGGTATATAAGATCCGCCAAGCCCAATAACTTTCTGCTCTGACCTGAAAGATCAAGGCACAGTTGCAAGCATGCATAAGAAATGTTGAAGTTCTGATAATCATTTATTACTTATTGCTGTAGCCTAAAGGGGAATACTTACGTCTCCATCATTGAACAAAGCAGTTCGTGACTGATTTTAGCCTCATCAAGATCACATGTTATTGGTAAGTGGTTAAGCCAGAGCAGGATGTACTGAGACAAGAACATTTATGATATGTCAGTCGATAAATGACAAATTTATCAAAACTGCAATCAAGAGAAATCGTATGTGTGTTCTAGTGTATGAAGTTTTCTTTTGGAATGATATAGGAAGGAGTAGTAAGAGAGCACCTCATAGGAGATGCCTTCTGAGACAAACTGGTTTAGCTTCCCACAGGTAGAAACAGCAGCCTCATAAGCCATGATGTTATCGGGGTGTTTTGCATTAGGATTCTCCAGTGCAGTTTTTAAATGACCGATTATTCCTGCAAACACCATTAGCAGCTAAGTCAGATGCTGCTAGTGGAGACAATAGATACCTTAAGCATATTATAACACACAAAGCTACCTTTAGTATGAGGCGTAAGGAAATCTGCTCCGAATTCAGCACAAATACCAATTGCAGTTGCCACGATCTGAAAAGATAGAGAATGTCAGGTTTGAAGGATACACAAAAGACTTACTAGGGAAACAAATAGTAAAAGAAGGAAAAAATAGAAAACCTGCGGAACATCTGGATTCTTATGATTGTAAATTCTAACCAGGAGAGGTATCCAGTCCTCATAGTACCTGATTTTTAAAATAGTAAAAAAGACGTTCAGCTAAGCCAACTGAGCTTATCATGATTAATAAGACACTGAAAATTGCAAGACGTGCCTGAATGCTTCTTCTCGGCACTGCTCAGCAACATCACGAAAAAGGTGCACTACAATTCTTCTTTCTTCTGCTGTTCTATCATTACTCTGTACAGAAGTATGTAGAAAAGTGAAAAGGAAATGTGTAAGGTCAAAGAAACCTTAAAAGTTCCCCTTAGAATTTATTGATAGACTGGTTTAACGAGAAGTTTATATCAATTTAGCCACTTATAATGCTTCAGTAAGAGGTGTCATGAATTGAATTGTACATAAAGTACATCAAAAGAGAGAGTGACTTACCCACATAAGTGATACATAAGGCAAAAACCTGTCAAAATGTGGCAAGAATGATGCCTTCAATTTTTTCACCATAGTTCCAAGGCAAATGCCAATCTGAATTCAGGAAAACAAAGAAACCGATGAAGGTAAGTCTAAGGTCCTGTTAAGTATATATATATATATATATATATATATATATATATATTAGAGGCTATGTTGAGATAAAACACTAACGTTTCTACATATAGTCAAGTGTTGCTCAGCTTCCTCCTTGAGTAGTTCCTGCTCCCTTGAATCTGTGTGTTCGTTAGCTCGTTTCTCTCTTTCTGTTTTGCGGTATGAGCATCTGGAGAGAACCTTTGATATGCCATCAACAAATTTTGCAGCTTGGTGTTTACTTAGACATGAACCCGGAACCTGTAGTAAGTACTTCTTAGTGCACAGACAAATAAGCTATACAGAAGACAAGAGAGTTATTAACCTGTATGCTTTCGTTGAATGCCTCCAATAGTCTTGCTTGAATTTGTACCTTTGACTCCTAAAGGGAAAGTAAAACTTCCTAAGGATCGTATCACTATTGATTAAACTTTTGCTGCAACACTGGGTAAATTACCTTTTTTAATGCATCAAGCAAAGATGAGATAATAGTGTCAGATAGCTTTTGAACTGGGGACTGGCCACAACCTGTTACAAGCAGCCCTTTCTTCATAGCACAAGAAGCTGAATTTAACAGTAACGGCATTGCTACGAAAAGGAATAAATGCAATTTAGCAAACAATCAGGTTTGGTTTATAATGCGGAAATGAATGATTAGAAGAAGACATATGTAGAAAATTTACCAGAAACGGCAGCCATTCTAACTTCTTTGCTGAATTTAAAGGTAAGATTCGGAACTAAAGCACTAACAACCTGCATAAACCACAAATTAAGTAAAAATCTGCATGCTACTTTGTAAGCCTTGTAAATGAGATTAGCTATGACCTGTCATTTTCTAGACAGACCTCATTAACCCATAAATGCAGCCCTTCCTTTAACTCAGTTGAGAAGAAGAATAGCATATGACAGGCCAAGGCCTTCTCTTCCAGAAGTGCAGCTCTTATCCCGATCTTTTTATTCCCAGCAGTGGCTTTGATCATGCTACAGAAGATATTTATGTCAGCTGAAGACATCCTCAATAACTTTATTCCATTAAAGTTGCTTATTTCACTTTTTTCCTGCAATTTCAGGTTACAACAACAACGACAACATACCCAGTGTAATCCCCACAAGTTGGGTCTGGAGAGGGTAGTGCGCACACAGACCTTACCCTTACCTTGGAAGGTAGAGAGGCTATTTCCGAAAGACTGCAATTAAAGGTTGGTAATAGAAATTTATCTCATCAAACTGTACTATTTAAGTGCAGTGACTAATAACCTCATAAAACATCTGTGAAACCTTAAGTGCCCGGAAAGACCAGATGTTTTCCTTTGACTCGGAGATGTTGTCTCTAAATAAACAGGAAGATACACAGAAGTCACTTAACATATTCACTTTATTTACGTTATAATTCGACATAGCAGTTTCATATGGTATAGCATGTGCGGAACTCTTAATACATCATGAAATGAAATGAAATTGTATGAAAACTCACAACCATCTACATCATTACATAGTGATAGTACTAATGCATATGCCATCCATCTAAATAAAACTTCGTACGAGTTGCTATAGTAAAAGATCCAACCTTTCATAATCAGAATCATCTGTATCTGAATTATCGGAAACACTCAAATAGTTCTTCAGCAAAGCAGATTTTAGCGCAACGGGCATGACAAGACTCAGATAAGAAAGGAAATCTGCCCCCAAAAATTTACATAGTCTACCGCATTCCTGTCATAGAATCAAAGTGTAAATTAGCCAAAAACAGAAAAGAAAAGAAAAGAAAATGAAAGTTGCACAAAATTCTAAGTTGTATCAACATACTAGTAACAAAAGTCTCCTCATTGGATCTTCTATCACCGTTTGAGTTTCGTGCAGTGAAATGAGTATTGCAGTGACCTAAAATAACATATCACACAAGGTAAATGCATTTTCAGATCTTAAGTGATGTTGATAGTTTCACTTTTATATAATGCCTGTTAAGTGCTAATGGAAATTTATAAATTGTATTCACCTTTTCAACATAATCATTGATTGCTAGATTTCCAACAGCCATTGCAGCCATGGTAATGCATTCCATGGATTTGGCCAGTAGCGTGCGACTTGTATCATTAGTAGCAGTTTCCAAGATAACTTTCAGATAAGGCATTAGAGAATCGTATAAGTATGCAGAGTCCTCCTGCAGTGTCCCAAGCAAATGAAGTTTAGAACTTCGAGCATTGGAAAAAAAGAGTTCTTTTTGAACCCCTGAAAGTAAAGTACCTGTGATGAAATAGCTAAAGAGGCTAAAGTTGCAAGAGATGCTTCCTTCATCATTGCCGTTCCTCTCTGGAAGTATGCAGCATGTTACTTGTTAAAGATAAAACTCAAATCACATCAGAGATATGACAGTTAAAAGCTTATGTCATTTACTCTTATACACATGAACAAATAAATATGTTGTAGATTGGTAAAGGTGACATTACCTGTAGAAACCCAACTAATTTACGCACTATATTGTGCAGGTAAGGTTTCAAGACATCTGCACTGCAATTTTGACTGAACAACTGTATCGCTGAAGCTGCACGTGTCTATACACAAGAGAGAATATTAGTCGGCAACCAGATGTACTTGCAATGGATAAGTTATGATATGTCAAGAGTTCTCAATTAGAGAACAAAGAGTTAATACATTGGTCATATGTCATTAAAAGTACCTGCAACCTGGGATTATCAACATCATCCAATACTTCTATCAAAGCTCGAAGGAGCTGCTGATGATATTGCTCTTGAAAACGAGGGCTCAGATATGTTGATAGCTGACCAATTGTACGAATTGTCGCCCAACATACTCGAGGGTGCTCATCATGGATTAGTTTCACAATAGTCTGCACAAGTTTCTCCATTTCCAGTAACAATGCCTGGGAATTTCCAGACCAGAAATCAAACTCAAAACGTATTTCATTTGCCAAAAGTAATCCAGTGTAATCCCATAAGTGGGGTCTAGAGAGGTAGTGTGTACACTGTGTACGCAGCAGAAAGAGTGAATACTACCTTTGAGCATCCTTCTGAAATCAGTCCAATTGCAGTAACGGCAGCATGACGAATTCTCCAATTTTGATCATGCAAGAGGTCGAACAAGCCCACAGCGCAACAAGGCACAATTACACTTCCCCCTAATGCAATTGCTAGCCTATCTAAACTCTCCATAGCATAACTACACATACTCAACTGCCCTTCATTTTCATCATCACTAGTTGCATTTCCCCAACAAGGGTCTTCTTTAATATGCACCAACATCACAATCAACACACTAAGCAATTTAGTAACTTCTTCTTTTGGTACCATCTGCATCATCCCACACCCAATTTCCCTATCCTCAGCCAAAGTAACAATAAACTCTATAGATAGCTGCCTTAACTTTTCCCCTAACTTCGAATTCTCAGCTATCCTCACCATATACTTAACCACAACACCGATATTAACTTTAAAAACCGCGGTCTCTACCCCAACCAAAACAATCAAATCCTCAAGAAGGCTACACACAAGATCTTCCTCACCAAGTGCCACAAACAAAGTCACTATCACATGTTCTAAAAGACCATAAAACTTGCAATAACTCGCGGGCGTTGAATATTACAAAATCAATTTCACAGAAGCCCTAGCAGCAGCAACCCTAGATCGATGATCTTCCAATACAGTAGGCATAAGGTCTGTAAACCCCTCAATCAAAAAATCAACATAAGGTACAAAAACCTCAGGACATTTTGGTATCAATTCATTCCATAAAAGCATAACACACAATTTTCCGTTCGATGAATTCGTACCCAAATACTCAAACATTAAGTGAAACAATAAAACCCATTCATTTTTAGGGAAAAGTAAACCCGCTAAACTCGATACACAAGATGAACAAGCCTTGAGTGTTTCATAATCTGTTTCAAGCCAAACCTTTTCATGTAAACGGATCTTCAAGTCATTTCGCTTACTTAACGAAAGTTTGGTCCAAAGGGATGGTAAAACATCGCTTAAAACATCGTAATAGAGAATACCTGTACGCGATCCTGGTGGGCTACATTCAATTGCTTGGAAAAGTTCCTCAATTAAAGAATTTGGGAAGTATTTTTTGGAATAATTGAAGAGAGTTTTTGCTGATTTACGAAGCTTATCATCGTCACTATAGAGGTCGATAAACGGGAGTTTCTTTGCTGATTTGGGTGTAGTCACCATTGAAGCAGAGCTGGTAAGGAAGAAAGTTAGTTTTTCTTGTTACAGGTTTTGGCGGGGTTTAATAGAATTTGAATATAGTGATTTGTTTTGTTTATTTGGTGATTAATTTAACGGTTGTGATTGAGTTTTGGTTAATAAGATTGGATGGCTAGGATTCTATCTTGGTTTGTTTCTTGGCACTCACGTTTAAGAATTTTGGAATAGAAAGATGAATACTCATTTTATCCCAATTTATGTGACACATTTCGTTTTCCGAGAGTCAAACGATTTAAGTTTGATTGAGAATTCGGGAATAACATCTTCAATTTTTTTTAAATGAAATTAATATATTTGCAAACTAAATAAAAAGTACGATAGGTCACAATAATTGACAATCTAGAATATTTAAAAGATATATGAAAAATTTACAATTAAAGATGGACTTATTTGAATCCGAAATTTAAAATGTGTCACATAAATTAGAACAGAGCGAGTATAATAGAATATGAGTTGTTATAGAAAATACATATATGGTGAATTGGTCTCTATTTTAGACAGGACATGACGCAACATCAGATTACTAATGATATGATTTTAAATACGAAGGTGTGATGATTGCGTATTAGGTTAGCTGGTAATAGAGTGTTGACTTATTTTTGAGGATACAGGTTGATTGCTCTATTCTTGTTAGTTCTAGTTTTTTATATCTATCTTCATCTATTCCACACGTTATTTGTGGGATTTCATTAAATTCATTATTATTGTTATTGTTGTTTGATAATGAGGCATATTTATTAATTGTATTAAAAAATTATTATGTCATATCATATCATAGGTGTTATTGATCCACTAACATTACCTTTCTTGCAGTCAAAATTAGCTCATAAAATTATAATTTGTCTAATTTATTCAAGTTTGAATTGATTATTGACCCGCTTATTTATTAGCTCAACTCATTTCGGTTCAATTCATTTTAGTCCATCAAAATTTGAGTTAATATCTAGTCCAAATTGATCATTTTAGCTCATGAGCTAATTTTATACATAACCTACCAATAAAATCTTTTCACATTATTTTTTATAATTTGGTAGGTTGTATTTAGTCATAGTAAAGAAAAATAATAATTTTGTCAAGTTATTAAATATTACAGTATAAAATAACAAATAAAGCAATAAAAATTTAATAAAAGTTGATTTAACCAATAAATTAAATAGAAAAAATGTAAAGTTTATTTAAAAGCTAGAAATTTAATTATAGACTAAATTATTTTATAAATTAATTTGAAATTATTATCAAAACCAATAAACTTTAAATTCGGACAGAAATCCCTATTTTTGGAGTAGCTTTTTCCAAGTTGTACACGTGAATGGATAGATATGGTGATGAGCCAAACTCCCCAACATGGAGGAACACATAATGTGCACACACCCACTTTCCCAGCTTAAAAAAAAATCATAACTTTGCTTCAATTTCTCCTTCAATGCCATGGCTATTACACATTAATTTGTAAATTAAAGCTTAGAAGCTGCCCATCAACAAGTAGTTATGATGGTTATTCAATATGGGTCTTGCTCAATTCCATCATTTCAATTCCAAGAATGCTCCTTTTCAAGGTGAATTTACTCTTATGCAACCCAAGTGGTGTTATCTTGTTTTGATTTTTGACTATGTTGCTCATGTTAAATTATGAAATTGTTCTTGTTGGGTTGGTGGGGTGGGAGGGGATGGGGTGGGGTGGGGTTAGTGTTATTTTGTTAAATGATATGATTTTAGTTCAGTCATAGTAGAATCAAGAAAAAATTTCACAAATTTGTTCCCATTGAACAATAAATTTCATGTTTTTTCAGAGATATGTTCATGACTTGTTGTTACCCTTATGCTTTGTCTGTTTTACAATGATAAGAGATTAAAGAGTAGAGAAGTAAAGGCAGGAAGGACTGAAAGGGAATGATTGTGTATCTAAGTAAATACTCCGTCTGTTTATTTTTGAACCATGTGGTCTTAAACTAAAGATATGTAGATTGTACGAAAATGCGTTTTAATTTTGTGGTTTTATTCATGTCACGTGGAAAGTTAGAACTAGAGAGTTGCCAAAAAAGGAAAGAGACGTTTTCTTTTAAACGGACTAAGAGGGGAAGTAAGAGAAACAAATTGAATAGTGAGTGTTCAATCTTCTTTTTTTCCTCATCCTATTATGGCTAAATGAAAATGAGGATTTTCAGGAAGAGAGCTGGAGTTGTCGAAGTGATCAAGTCTAACTTGTCAAACTCAGATGCTAAGAGAGCAAACCTTTCTGCCAGGAAGAAGGACAGAATTAAGCTCCCCAAACATGACAGTATTGGTGGAGACAATAAATCATTGCATATAAGTGAGTTTCTGAGCCATAAATCTGGTGTTGAGGCAATGTTGAACAAGAGAGCTTTGCAAAGCTTTGAATCTATTGATTCTAATACGTACAGGTAATGATTTGTATCTTCTTGCCTATTATTCTTGTCTAGGTACTTTGGTCCAAGGACATTCCATCTTTCTCTTCTATCATTTGTTCTTGCTGTGTGAAATGTTGCATTTTATTATTGTAGCTAGGTGTTAAGTAGTTTTCAAGTTATCTGCTTAAGTATTGAAAAACGAGTGGAAACATCATTGATACGTAGAAAAGAAGCTTTGTAGAACAAACGCCACTGTGCAAAGAGATGAAGCTGATTGAACTATTAGGATGCTGAAATAGTTAACCATATCATACAGTGTTATAATTACTCTTATACTTCTATTGGTATATGAACCATAAGACATAGGGAATTCGCCTCTATGCTGCATTCTAAATGATTTACAGATCCACATTCTGTACAGTCAGGTCATCAAATGTGAATGGAATAACTACTATAAATTTGAATTAAAATTAATTAGTGCATCTAATTTCTCTTTGGTAACTTGAGAAGCTTGTTTCTGAGATTCATCAGTAGTTAGAAAGGCTTAATGATTTCTAAGCTTTGTGAGTAGGTGTTGCCTAATGACCGCCTGATATTTGCTGACATAGCCTGATTCTTGCTTTCATATACTATGATGACGTGAGACTTTGGTTCTTTTTTGCTTTTGATTTTCAAAATCTTCATACATCCTAGCTGTAGGTTCTTTTGGTCTATGTACCGATATAAAGAAGTTTCTTGTGGTCTGTGCTAGTTTAGCAACAATAAACTCTTGGTATATCAGCCCCTCTCCCCAGGTTCACACTTCGATCTTCAAAAGAAGAATGTTATTAGCTCCCTGTGCTTGTGATATCAACATAAGATTATAACCTAAACATTTTTTATAATTAAAAGCTAATAAGCTAAGTGCTCCTGACCACAAGGCACCACCTTAAACCAAGACTTACTGCAACTCTTTGTGAAAAGAAACTAAAAACTGCCAGTTGTCGTATTACCACTTAGAAAGAAAGTAGTTAAAACAGAGGCTCATTTAATTAAAAGTCAATTCTTATGAGCATCCAGTAACACTAACCAAGTCACAACGGATGTTTGCAAGAGCCAATTGAATGTGGGGCAAAGAAATGTGCAACCAGCAGCTTACGCAACAAAAACTCCAGTGACTATCAAGCAAGATCTTCTGATGTATAAAGTAGAAGTGCATATAAATGAGATTCTACCCTCCAAATATGAAAGATGACTAATGAATTCCAATAGCGACTAATCAACAATGGACATGGTAAGTAGCCTACCTTCTTACTCAGATCTGAAATCCCACTGGATTTATGTTGAAAAGAACATGGCTATCATTTGCACTAATTATATACTACTTCAATATTTTTTTGAGACTTTTATGGAATCTTACTATAGCATCTTAGTGAGCAGAATATATAAATCTGGTTGTTCTGTAGCATAGATGACCAGAATTTGTCAACCTTAAGTAGATGATGTCAGATGATTGATTTTCTTAAATAAAGATACCTTTTTTAGTTTGGTAAACTCCAGCCCCTAATTCCCCTTCCCCGAGGCCTAACAGTGTTTTTTCATATTTACCTCCTGTGTGACTTAAACTCCCAACTCTTAGTTAGAACTTAGAAGCAAGGGGTTAGCAACCCTTTCTTGGCTTCTTGAATAGAGAATCAAACTTGGGGTAAAAATAATTTTCTTCTCCCCTTTAGTGTGTGGATATCATTACACATTAATTAACCTATTTAGCTTAACGGAGGAAATGATATGGTTAATTAGGTTCTCTAAGCATTTGGAAGAACAGATTTCAGTTCCAGAAGGTAACCACGGGCTTATACCTGGAAAACAAGTGTGTAAACCGAGAAGATATGAAATCCTCAAGAACTATATTGCAATCTTTGAGCTGTGTCTTAGACTTTTATTAGTTTATATGTTACCAATGTAAGGTTAACGTTTAGCATATTTTCCGTGTATGTTGAGGAATCCATCAAAGATATGGCACATCAAAAGAAAGGGTAAAGTGCAGCATAGATTAGGAGATCCGGATAGAACTGTTCAGTGGAGCTGTCAAATAATCATATTATAGAAATCGCTTGTAGTCTCTGAGAGCATTTGACTACTTTAGTGCTAGTACCTTTCTATTTGGTGATTGAAAATCAGGAACATTCATGTATGGATACTAGATACTCCAATCTTCATCAGAGAAAATAGTTCATGTGTCCTCCGCAGCCTATACATCCCATATAAGAGTTATAAGATCTTGCTGATTATGATTTAATTGCAGGTGTACTCTTCCACAAGTTCGACTTCTGAATTTTGAAGTTGCCCCTGTTTTGACACTAAAAGTGAACCCGACCAGCGAAGACTGCACTGTGGAGATGTTGTCTTGCAAGGTAAGGCTCCTTATTCTGGAAACATCACCCAACCGAAGGAATTAGTATCTCTGATGTGCTGTCCAACACCTCTTTCTTCTAGACCAAGAATCTTCAAAAGTTTCTATCACAATTGAGGTTCTAATTGATTTCTTTCACGAGGTAGCTAAAGGCTCGTAGATCTTTAGTTGTCTGAAGACTTATGAATTCATGTTTGTATGATCGCCAGTTATGCAATTGATACAGAGAGTGATAATGTTCTCATTTGCGGCAATCTGCTTTAAGGTAGTTAGTACCATTAGAGAAGAGGGAGTGATAGAAAGAGGAGGGGAGCAAGGAGTGAGTTAAGGTTTAATTTCCCCTGTCTTTGTACATGCAAGAGAACAGTTTTCTTCTGGACGTTAGCATCCCCCACATATAACTTAATACTCCCTCATTGCGATTGAGATACATGTCGTGGGATCTTCTTCTTTTTTTCCATTTAAATCTGAGATCTGTGTTTCTTACAGTTAAGTTATCCTTTAAGAAGATATATAATCCTAAATTCTGATGTTCATTGCAGTTTGAGGGTTCTGATCTGGTAGAGCAGCAGAATGACCACTTTTTAGGTATACCAAAACAACATTCGAGCATGACAATTTTTATCAAATTGAACGAAGCTGAGCTTTTGTAACATATTTATCATAATTTATAATTACATGTTTAAACACATGCAATGTATTTTTAACTTGCAGCATCAATGGTAAACCGTATAACGTGGGAAACAGTTGGGTCTCAGACTTTCCTCGATGTTGATGTGAAATTGAATATATCTCTCGAGGTTATTATCACTCTCTTCCCTAAATATTTTATGCTTATTCTTCATGAAAAATTTCCTTTGGCAAATGTAGAAAAGCTTCTCAGAAAAAAAAGGCCACCGGTTCTTCATCTTAAAATTTCTCTGGGACAACATCACTGTATGCTCGTGCATGTTTAGATACATACAACAAGGGATAAAGAGAGTACTTCCTTGTCCTCATATATGATTTACAGTAGCATATTTTTCCTAACTAAAAGAGCAGCAGGGTGCACGAAGCATCACACGTTCATGCAGGTCTGGGGAAGGCACCCCAAGGGGGTGTCATGTAGAAGCTTACCTTACCCTGACACCACATCAAGGGCTGATTCCACGGCTTGAACCCTTGACCCACACTAATCAGGAAAAGTAAATATTGTTCCTCTGTAGAATGATAGCCGCCTCTCTAGTTATCTATGCTTATTTATGCCTTTTGGATATGCTTCTATGAGGGACCTGCTATTCAGAGAAAAGTACTCTTAGCATGACATCCATAAAACAGTAGGAAACAAAAAGACCTATTATCAAGATTGTTAGATTGATAACACATTATATGTTTATAGTGTCATATATATGTATAGAATCTAAGGTTACTTTTCTCATCATTGACTTGTTAAGGCTTAATTGGAATAGGGATGAACTTTTTAACTGTGCTCCCTGTAAATTCTCAAGTTACAATTTCTTCTTTTGTTCAAGTCTGAACTTCCCAAGGTAAATATCACTGATCCATCTTGTTGTAGACTTGGAGTCAGGCATAGTGACATCATAACGTGGTATGTGGGATTTAACCAGATCTATGGGTCATGAACGATCGATCAATCTTCAAATTTTTGTTCCACTTCACAAAACCGAGGTCTAAATGTATTTGAATGACTAGATTATTTTCATGCCACAGTGAAACGTATTTTGATATGTTTCCTTTGAATATCTACAACTTCAGTACAATTATCATATTGACAAGAGAAGTTTCTTGAATATTATGACCCTCAGATCGGAGTCGTCACCTTAGATTGTTCTTGCAGATATATACGATGCCATTCACCATGCTGCCTACTTCTGCTGTTGAGAGTCCCGGTAACATGTAAGTCTATTGCTACACTGTCTTTACTCTCTGTAATCGGAAATGGTAATAAAAACAAATATTGCAGTTTAAATTACACATTAACACTCTGTTTATTGATATGTGTGCGTTGTTGTGCCTGGATTTTTCTTAGAGCAAGGTCCATATTAAAGCAAAGAATCCGAGGGTCATAAGTGGTCCTTGCTAGATTTTAGAGATACAGTTCTTCGGAATCATTTGCACTAAGAATAGTCCATCTCATTGAACCTCAGTACGTCTGCATGTTTCCATTTGCCAAGTTCTATCTATAATTCCCTTTGCTCCAGAAGATAAGTTGATCATGACCAGTTAGCGGTGACACTTTTTCTTGATAATTTCAGCTTATCAGCGTATAAATGAACATAGAGGTCTTCATAGATTTGGTACTAGTTTTAATGGTGACCAATTCAGTTGAACACTCTTTTATTATTGCATAAACATAGTTCTGCACTTTGCAGACATTTCATTTCCATTTTCAAAATGATATTTCTATAGCAAAATAGAAACGGCCATCATAATTTTCATACACAATGATCATGTTTAACATCAAATTCTATTTCCTATTTCTGTAACTTTTGTACTTCATCTCAAATTCTCAATCCTAATCGTGAATCATGTTTTACACAGAATGATGCAAGCTTTAGTGGACAGGCTAGTACCGTTGCTATTGCAACAACTGCTTCAGGATTATGATAACTGGGTTCGACAATATCAGAAATCTCTGTCGTGAACCCAACCCCTTTTGTACCTGAGTAAGTTAACTACATTTATGGCTCCGCGAGGACACCTCTAGCTATAATACTACATGTGAGCACATTTGCTCCTATCTTGGTGGACAAGTTTACCAGACACTTGTATACTTGTGTGATGTTGCAAGCTTCAACTCAGCTTCCTGACTTCGCACGTGGACTAGTCTAGGTGTGCACAAGCTGGTTCGGCATGTATTTTATGTATGTATATTATATGTATAAAACTTCATCCTTCGGCATGTATTGTATGTATATATATTATATGTATAAAACTTCATCCTTCCATGGCTGAAGTTCAAGCCGCCTATTTGATACTCCTTTCTTTTGTACAATATGTCTACCTTGCCTTAGTGATATTAAGTGAAATAATTATTTTTACCACAAATTTTTGAAGTCACATTAGGACTCTGGAAATAGAAAAAGAATGTCTTTGGAATTGGGGTCTGATCTGAGCAAAATATTTCATCGAAGAGAAAAATGATTTCCCAATTATGACCTTTTTTTTTACCTACAATTATCTTAACTTTTAGTTCGCATGACTTGTTCCATCTATCACTCAGACATTACTATTATGTCTAGTCCTCGAAAGCTAAATCAAAATAACTACTATTACTCGTTATATATTCATTTCAAAAGTACTTTCCACCCACAAATCAAACATCATGAAATACATTTTCTGAATATACTTATCATGAAAATAACTAAAAAGATTTGGTTTCCATCCATACACTAGAGCCTGACTAAAGAGCACATTTGGGAAAACACTCCCCTTCAAGAATTTTTTCGTATTCAAAACACAAAACTAAGACATCTAACTAAGAGAAAAGCAGCTCCATACTATGCCAAATGCTTGAGTGGTTTGTTCACTGCGTACATTTGAAGAGTAGACCAGCCATTTTAGGAGGTGGGATGCTACCAACCTGCTTTTGGCATAGTATGAACTATGAACAAGGATAGAGAAAAGCTCTACACAATACGTGACATGTATGCGTGCGGCGTGTGTGATCATCCTCATTAATAGAAAACCTCAAGTGTACATTAGAACAACCACAAGCATCCAAATCATCTATTCCAAAACAAGTTCTGCAGAATCTATTGCAATCAAAATCACCAAAAGGAAAAACATGCATGTTCTACATGAGCCTGGAACCTCACTTCACCCAAGGAAGCAAATGTAGCACACATTCCCAAATAAGATATCATACAAGAGTCAAAGATATGACAACGAAAGAACTTATAACAGTCAACCCTTGCACAACAATTTCAGGGTCATCAGGAAAATCCCATTTAGGCGTTAGCTACACTTCAGAGTATTTCGACAACTAAACCCCACACACATCCCTTTGGTACTAAACAGCTAACCAAGCTTTGCCTCTTTATGCTTTGTTTTCCAGACATCAGCCACTTCTTCCCCTCCACTGAGCTGCTGAAACTGGCAAAGAAAACAAATTGTAAGGATGTCAGCCTATCACATAATGTAATTCTTCCAAAGGATATAAATGCGCACAATTCTTAAGCTTCATTCTGAAGCATAGCGCACTTGGAAAAGAGCATGTTCAATGCAGTAACCATAAATCTTCGAATCGTTGTGTCAAAATTGTAAGAGAATTGGAGCCCAACGATATAATCAGTTTGAAAGGGGGGAAATAACGAACAATCCTAACGTAGGTGTAAGGAATCTGGCCAAAGAAAACAAGAGCCTCTTATCAAATTTTTGGTGTTGATTAACAATAAAGGAATCATTTGTTCAAATATATAAATACATTCCAGTTTAGCACCAATGTCTCTACATCTCATTGCCTTGGGAATTTACCCTTGCCTTGACCAGCAGTTATATTCCTTCATAGATTAGCTAAGTAACACCCCTAAATAGTAGCAAAACACCTGCCAAAGAGCAAAAAGATTACCTTTCTTTTCAACAGCTCATCCACTCATGCACAATTTAAGTTTCTTTCAAGATTCAGGTAGCAATTTTGAAATTGAAGAATTGTCCACTCAAACAGTAATGGCAGCTTGGTATGATCAAAGCTCCAGTTTCCATGAAAAGCATGGACATCTTTTTAAAATTTATTGGAAGAAAAAACAAACGGGGATGTAAACCCATATACTATAACATATGTAAAAACCAAGACCGCAGACGTAAGCAGAAAGTGACTATCCCATTTGATTGACGCTGTTAGTGAAATTATGGTCAGCAAAGCTCTAAAGCTTTTTTTTTTTACTTTCAAGGACACTTTAGTTTTCACTTCTAGCAGTATATTTTTTATACCTGAGCAGTACATAGTTTAAATGGGAATATTTTGTTAGTGGAAGGACTCTGCAAGTAATTAAGCAGTACATAATTAATAAAAAAGAAACATACTCGAATTATGAGTTTCTTTATGAAATTCATTTTTAAGGAACCTCTCCTGTAAAGAACAAGGCAAGTTATCTCAAGTTTGAACTCACCTATTGATCTTCTGACATGACACAATATCTATAGAGCAGCTTTCACCGCCTACTCTGCCTATCAGCATACTTTTCATCGTCAAATCTTCTCCCTCCACTAGAATGTGAATCATCATGTCTAGCCCTCTTGTATGAATCATGACCTTTGTAACTATCACGCATTCTGCTTCTATGCTCCTCCTCCTGTTCAGGCCTTCCCCGCTGAGATTCCCCTTCTTTCTCATGCTTCCGGTACTGATCTTCCTCTTCATCTCTTTTGTGTTTCCTTTCCCAGCGGTCATCATCCCTGCTTTCTCTTCTCTCCTGTCCACGCACTTCATAATCTCGATTCTCTCGTCGGCTTTCACGTTGCAGCTCATTCCCACTCTGAATCTTATTTTCACGCTCTCCATCATTACCTTCATATTCTCCACCAGATCTTCTTGTCTGTTGATCTTTACTCCTATCCTCTGTACTCCTGTATGACCTATTTGGGTTCTCAGCTTCAGTATCAGCCCTTCCATACTTTTCATCTTTACTAGAATCTCTCCTCCTTGACTTCCCCTCACGTTGATCCAGGCTTTCATCGTCTAGTTTTCTCTTACCCCGCAACAACTCCTGACTAGCACTTGATCCATCAATCACATAATCAGCCTTAGAATTATGTCTTCTCCCTTCCTGAATCTTCCTGCTTTTTACATCAAGATCACCATCATCATCATCATCAGAATAGTGTTTTCTTTGTGACTTCTTATTTTTAGCATCACCAACATCATCATACACAGTAACATGTCTTCTACCTTCCTGAATCTTCCTGCTTTTTACATCACGATCACTACCATCAGAATCATGTCTTCTATCTCTCTGTGACTTCTTGTTTTTAGCATCACGACCATCATCATTGTCATCAGAATCATGTGTTCTACCTCTTTGTGAGGTCTTGTTTTTAGCATCACGACCATCATCATATTTATCCTCAGCAACATGTCGTTTCTCTTTCTGAATCATCTTGTTTATGACATCACGGTCATTGTCATGGTCATCCTCATCAGAATCATGTCTTCTACCTCTTTGGGAGGTCTTGTTTTTAGCATAATGACCATCATCATATTTATCCTCAGCAACATGTCTTTTCTCTTTCTGAATTGTCTTGTTTTTGACATCACGGTCATTGACATGGTCATCCTCATCAGAATCATGTCTTCTACCCTGTTGAAGCTTAATGGTTTTTGCATCACGGCCATCATCATCACCCACAAAATGTCTCCTATGGACTTTCACGTGTTTCTTCTCATGATCAGACTCTGAATAAGAGTCAGAATCAGAATCAGAGGATGAATCGTCACTGTGATGCCGCCTTCTAGCCTTCTTGTCCTTGGCAGACAACTTTCTTGACTTATTACCACCAGCAGTATCAGAATCAGAACTATCATGAGCCTTCTTACGGATCTTCTTAGACTCTTTGGCATGGCTTTCACTGCTGTCAGTGTCAGAAGAATTGTCACGTCCTCTCCTCTTCTCTTTTTTCTTATGACGCTTACCCTCGTCCTTCTCTTTTGCCAAGTCATTAACTTCACCCTCTTCAAAATGAGCTAAAGCATCATGCTGCTGCTTCTGAGTCTCGTGTTCAGCCCCTATCTTGAGAGCAGCTTTTAAGTTTTCCATTTGTTTTTCTTTCAAAGCAGCAATCTGGTGTGTTTGTGTTTCCGAAACCCTGGAATGAACAAGTTTAGTTATTGCATATCAACCTCACAGTATCTATAAAAAGACTGAAAAAAGCTAACAAATTAGGTCCTGATTTTTGGATCTGGTTTAGAAATTTAACATTAAGAGGACACACAAATCAACCGGACTTAATCATATCTGTATCCAAATTCTATTGTTCATCGTCCTAAGCTGACATTTCCCACTTCCTCTCATCGAGACTAAATGAAAGCAAACAGCATTTTTTATCTCCTTAAAAAGCCTACTAAATCAAAAAGATCCCAACTTCTCAAAATAGTACCATAGTCAATAAAAAATTCTTAAAGGTCAAAAACAAAACAAAACAAAATATGAACTAAAAAAGCATCACAAAATTGCAAGTGATAACCACACTTCTTTTCCCTTCCCAATTTCCTTTCTACTTATCATATTTCTATTTCCTTAACAATTCTGCTGGCTCCATAAATAATACATGGAGAATTCTCCAAACACGAATGATAGCAGCAACAAATCAGTCAAATCCAGAAATTCATTAGCTAGTTCATAACGAAAAACTGATCCAACGCGTATATTATGCAAAAAGTATAACAACAATTCAGAAAATCAAATTACTTTTCATAGGTAGGTCCTCCAAATTCCTCAGATGTTGCCTCTAGATTCCTTCGCGCTTCCTCGAGCTTCTCGGAGATCTCAGCATCAGTGTATCCCTGATCGGCAAGCTTCTCCTCAAGGACAAGAAGTTTGAGCTGAATCTGCCGTTTCCGGTCATGTTCGAGAATGTCCTTATTGGCTTTCCTCGACACTCCGGCAGTTCCTTGACCGGATTCGTAACCTTTGCCGCCCTCTACAAGGACTTTGTTCGTCTTCGACTTGACGAAGAACTTGTTGGTCTGGATGTGGCCGTTGGTGCCGGAGCCTCGCGGCGTTTGTAGGCCGATTCCGTTGTACATCTTCGCTGGAAAGAGAAGAGAAAAATATCTAAACCTTAATTTGCCCTAATTTATACATAGATGAGTAGCCTGGAATTTAATCGGATCGGGTAATTCGGTTCATGAATTTCGGGTTACTGCCCGATCTTTCTTTTCTTTTCTTTTTACTTATTTATTACTCTATATTTATAAGTAGGCTTTTCACTTTTGGTTCGATTTCAAATATTTTTCCACTTTATTTAAAAGCTGTAAAGTCGAATTAAAAATAAACTTATATTTGGTTATACGTTTTACGAATAATATTTGAAATAATAGAAAGAAAAATCACTGATTAAAAAAAGGATTTGAAACTTTTATACACCCGGTGCAGATAAGTTTGTTCCGATTGTTTGTGGTATATATAACACAAATTTAACTCCCCAAACCTTTTTGGTTAGGAAAAGAATAATACAAATCCGCTATGGATTAGAATTTAGTTTTTTTTTGGATTAAAGTCCAATTAATTTAAATTTACGAAACTCATTGGTCTTAGGAAGGCTTTTTGTCCCAAAAAAAAAATCAGATCCAAAGCTTGAAAACTAAACTTTTAATTAAGTAAGGATTAACTTTAACTACAATCTTTTATTGGTGATTGGAATAATGTTGGATACAAGAACATTAAAAATATCCCTATAATATGAGTTAATTATATATACACATTTTGATATCAAATATCTAAACATTTATACTAAAAAATTCTACACAAAAAATTAGCTTGATAAGCTTTCTATTTAGATAGATTTTTCAAAATATATACATATATTATGAAGTATATCTATAATTACATACCCAATTTATTTCTTTTTTTTATGACCCATTAGATTAAAAACAGAAGGTAAGAAACAAATAGTTTTTGTTTTTTATAATTAATATATGAGTATAAGTTGTTATTTTATTTTTTTAGTTAGAATATTTTATTTTAGAGAAATTTCCTTTATTTACTTGAGTGTGCTTCTTTATTATCTCACTTCAAAGTCTTATATTTACTTAGACATTACAACATTTTTCTTAACGTATACAAAGTGTACTACTTCTTGATATCAATTTTTTTACATCATTAAATTTTTATACTATAATATAAACTCATTGGAGAAAATTTAGAAATATCAAACGTAACCATCACTTAGTAGGAATTCTACCAAGTAAGAAAATTCTAATAATTTTAAAAATACACATCTTTTTCTTTTTTTTATCTTAGTTCTCTAAATTTTCCAAGTTTCTTTTGCTTTATGAAGTATTTTTGTAGATTCCATTCTTAAATTTGTATGTACATTGAATTTTTTTCTTACTGCTTAGTATTACTGGTAGCTAGTATTTCACATTTACTTTAACTTTTCCACGTTGAGTAAATTCCCTTTTTTTAAAAGAAAAATGTAGGTCATTCGTAGTTATTTATTATCCAAAAAAAATATTTCTAGGGATGGCAATGGAGCGGGGTGGGGTGGTTTTAAGGTTGTGCGGCGCGGGTGGGATGTGGGGCAGAGTAAAAGTGGTTTTTAAAAAAATAAATATTGAGCGGATTGAGTGTATATGTGATTTTATGTGGATTTAAACTTAATTTTAACTTTTACATGTTATAAGAGCGATAAAACATTATTCCTTAAGATAATTTCTTTAAAGATAGTAAATGAAAATTGTTAAATAAAAAATAATAAAATTTTTACATGTTTCCCAATACATTTTAAAGTCCCTATCCTATTAAATTAACACAACTTAATGAAAGAATGAATTTATTTTTATAAAAAAAAAACTAGTATCAAATTAAAAAGAAAAAGATAATATTAAAAAAATTATGCGAGCGGGTACATGCGTGGCGAGGTGGAGCGGATTGAAAGTGAAAAAAGTTGTTATGCGAAGACAGGACGAATTAAAAACTTTGCGGTTAAGCTCAACCTGCCCCCACCCCACACTGCCCCTTTGTCATCCCTAAATATTTCATCAATTTTGGGGATTTTTAAAGTGATTGAACATGATTTCAATATTACGGGAGACCTTTATTATTTGTAATCAGCCCTCTTTCCCACTAAAGTTTATTATGAAAAATCTTTAAAGTAACACGATTTTCAACACTCTCAAATATAACTTAAACATTTAAACTATTAGAACACTTGATATTTGAAATACTTCTTATAAATTATCTAGGAACCAAGTATAGAAACTAAGTAAATCACCTTAAACTTGTTATGAGCATCTTCAAGGTTAGGTTATCTTTCTAAAAGTCGAGTTAAGTTTTCAAGCTTAATGGAAAAAACATATGAGTACTTCTAGCTGCTTCGCCTGCTTCTTATTATGGCGGCTATGTTTTCGTGGCGAAAATGAACGAAAAGCGAGATGAGCGTGCTATTTTCAAATCGATTGATAGATAGCCTGATCTGTTCTAATAGATCGAAAGAGATAGAGAGGGAATCTCTCAAGAATAGGTCTTTCTAAAAGTCGAGTTAAGTTTTCAAGCTTATTGACAAAAACATATGAGGTTTCATGAGATAATTACATGAAAAGTGATTCCGGAGTTGTGAGAACAAAAGTACAAACGGGTCAAAATTGGCAATATGACAACAGTAACATAGCATTATGAATCTATGGCGTGATGCATGAGACACCGATGGCCTCAACCTACAAGTTGGCGAATATAATGCCGGTTAGCTATCGAAATTTAAATTGGTAAAATTTGGAAATTTCAAGAATTAGGCCTAAATGTTGGATTCTTAGTTGATTAATGTTGTATAATTGTTCAGTGTAATTTGAATCTACATTCAGTACTAATTTAATATCAGATTAGTAGTACTGAATGAATCTACAAAGTGCTTCATACCATATCCACCTGATCATCCATGGCAATAACTAATGAAATCTGTATCAAACAAGAGATAATTCAAATGTCAAGTTTGATGCATAGTTGTACAGAAATCAACTATAAATCTGGAATGAATTAACAGGGAAGAATGAATGTAATGGGAATAGCCTCGTCGGTGAAAGCGGAATAAACGCAATTCACCAGTATAAGACTATCAAACACCATTGATATTACTGTTGGTGACATACTGACCATTCACACGGAGTAGAACATCGGCGTTGGGGCCGATGTGTGTGTGACTGGCTAATTGGTCACCTTTTCTTTACACAAATCTATCTAACAAACAATTTCATGAGCAAGATTTTACCAACAAAATTTTGGAACTGGAACGCATAAGAGAGCAAGACGCAGTATTTAGGGTTTTAAGGGGATTTATATAGTATGTGTGTTGTGGAGAAGAATAACAGTGGTGGCTAGGGTTTCCAAATTTTCTGCCGGGTCGGACTATACTTGGATATGTCAATAAAAGCCCGATTCGATTCCAATTTTTTCTTGAAATTACTACCTTTCACTTTCAACAAAAGCTTCAATTTTTTTTCTGGATAAATTTTGCAAAATCCACTGGAAAGGCCGATAAAAAAAAAATATACTCACTCCATCTCAATTTATGTAGGTGGTTGAATGAAAATATTATTTTAGAGTTTTTCTTTTGGAAAATTGTGAGAACCTACAACGACAATGTACCCAGAGTAATCTACTAGCGGATTGTGGTCTAACATAAGCCATAAAGAACTATTTCATGAAAAAAGAGTCGCATAAATTGAAAAAAAAAGACATTTGCTAGAAAGGAGGAAACTAAAGAAGGCAGAGTATATAATGAGAGTAAATGACGGCGGTTTTGCATTAAACATGGGAGGAACTGTTTTTTCGAACCATTGAGATAGTTGTAAAATATGTAAAAATACAACGTATACATCCCAATTGATACTGACAGACGGGGTGGCTAGCAGAGAGCCAAAGCTTGAGCTTGCATACATTTCAACTGTCCATAGAAAGAGCATACCCGATGAAAATCACACCTGCGGTTAATAGTTTTGGCGGATATATCTGGACAAATAGAGATTTAAGGGATCACTAAATCAATCATCGTCATCACTATCATATTGTTGACATAATGAGAGTAGACCACTGCTTGTCGCAGCACCAGTGCTCTGCGCGTCTTGCTTGTTTACTTCTACTGTCTGCTTGCTGTTGGAGTCCAAGACTGGCTTCTTGACTATGGATATTTTGATTGATGAGGACTTCAAAATGATTTTACTATCACCTGCCGATGCTTTATCTGTAAGATAGGTCGTGAAGATAGGGTTAGAGATCCCTCAGAAACTATTTCTATCAGAATGTCCCAAAAAAGTAAAGACGACCATTATTACTACTTTTCCCCAAGTAAAACCTACGAATTCTACGATCATTGAAGAGTTTATAACATTTCATCCACCAAATGTCATACAAGGATGTTGGTATAATGGGAAGCAATGATACCCTCAGAAGAGAATCAGATAAATAAACTGAACCTACCTTTGTTTTTAGAGCTGTCATTAATGCTGGCTTTCGTCAAAAAGTCCGTGGGCTTTTCATCAGGTTCCTCGGAAACCTTTCTCTTCTGCATTTAAACAATAAAAAGTGTAGTGTTAGAAAGGAACAACAAAAAGAAGGTTAAGACATGATATTGCATTCAGATTTAAGTCTAACAGTAGATGCGCTGCTCCCAACAAAACTGTAATCTAATCTATGGATTTACATTGTATTTTTCTACTTTTCTTTAGTTGCATGTCAGACATACGGCAGGTTCAACGTAAAGGAGACTAATCATTTTGTAGATGCTGCCGTTTTAATTATTTAGTTCTGTGTTGTACGGAAATAGGTTGATGGCAATATAATAATTGGAATTTGGAAAACTGAATTAGATGACCAGGCACTTGTACCTTAAGAGAGTTGTTTTCTGACCCTGCAGTTTCAGGGGTAAAGAAAGCCAAGTCGTCATCGTCATCATCCTCAAGTTCTTCATCATTGATTCTTTTGACAGTCTCTCTTGATCCCTGATATGAAATTACAAGGCCAAGAAAACTTGCTAAGAAATTTACACTATTAGAAGTACACCTATGAACAAATAATAGTTATTCAGACTATGATATACCAACCTGG